AGAAAGAAAGAAAGAAAGAAAGAAAGAAAAGAAAAGAAAAGAAAACAATTAAGTAACTATTATTGACTTAAAAAAGAGGGGCAGGGGTGGCAGACACTGCAAAATTTAGAAATGAAAGTCTACCTGAGTCCTGTAATTCAAGGTCTACCAAGGCTTCAGGCTGGATTCAGTCAATTTTGGCATTTTAGTGAGACCCTGTCTTAGAACAGAAACAGACACAGAAAGATTCTACAATGCAATGCTTCTGTAGCATGGTTGAGACCACAGGTTGAATCCCGTACCCACCTCAAAACTGAAGGCAAACTAATTACAGAAAAAAAAAAATGGATTAAGGACTGGAGGACAAGCTGGTAAGAGTGTGCACTGCTCTTCCAGAATACTCTAGTTCTCTTCCCAAGCACACATACCAGTCAGCTCACAACTGATGCCCAAAAGCAGGACTTGCTTTTGCCCAAGAAATAAAATGAAATCAAACAGACACACCGCCAGCAGTACTCTATCAATTACTGAGAGATAAGAATTTGGTTTCTTGGAGCTGGAGAGGTAGCTCAGCAATTAAAAGAGCGCTTATTGCCCTTAAAGAAGCGACATCATTCATATGGCCACAGGCACTGCATACATATGGTATCAATCAAACATATATACACATAGGTACTCACAAATACTAAAAAAAAAAATCTTTTTAAAAAATTTTTTAAGGAATTAAAAAGGTTTAATTGGGCTCCTGCCTGGGCTGTGTTGAGCAGAGAAACATGTGAGTTAAAAGTTCAAAAGAAGGGCAACTATGGAGAAAATCTCTTATAAGGTTAGTTTGCCTTTATATATTAAATAAATGAAGACAAAGAAACAAGCTGGTTAGGGAGGTAGCACAGTGGGTAGAATGCTCACATGGCATATGTGAGGCCCTGTGTTTTATCGCCACACCACATAAAAATCAGGCTTCATAGCATATCCTGTAACCCAAACCTTGAGAGGTAGAGGCAGGTGGATCAAACTTTTATCTTCAGCTACATGACAACTTGAAGTCAGCTTAGAATACAGGCCTCTGTCTCCAAAAAAAAAAAAAAAAAAAAAAAAAAAAAAAATCAGTATACTGAAATGAAGTTATTGACATTCTTTTCCAAATAAATTCCATAAGATGACCAGAATCTTTGAAACTATGTAAGAAACTCTTAAAACAAGCTAAGGTTGTTGTTTTAGTTTTTTTGAGACAACAGTTCCCTATATAGCCCAAGCTGACATTAACCTCGTAACCCTCCTGTCTCTGCCTACTGAGTGCCTGGATTACAGGATTGCACATTACCTTTGGCCTCTTACGAAAAATTTAAAACTAGACTTGATCTAGAACATCTTGAGTCCACATTTGCAAATTTACTGACTCAATGTAACTATAACTGCAGCCTATTAATTGATGCTTGTAGAAATTTCAAGGTCATCTGTGGATATGTACAAACATTTTTTTTAAGGAATTGTCTGAAGCTTGTGTGCCAGAGTTGGAGAAAAAAATGACACTGCTGTTTTATTTCTGCTGCCAACAGAATAAAATTACTTCAGGTAAATGAAGCTGGGCTTGGTGGCAAGTGACCGTAAACCCAGAACTTTAAAGACTCAGTCAGGAGGATTGTGGGTTCCAGATGGCCTGAACTATGGAGACCTTGTCTAAAAAAGAAAACAATGGATGCAGAGGCAGGCCTGCATCTACAGAGGTTCACAGAGGAACCCTGTCTTAAAAAAACAAAACCAAAACCAAAGCAAAAAAACAACAAAAAGAAAACAAAATCAAACAAACATCAAAAAATACTTTAAAGCGAAAGAGGCTAGAGTTATGGAAATACTCTAACCTAAAAGTGTTCAAGCATCTCATAGTACCCAGTACTTCAATTATTGTATAATAAGCTCTTGATAAATGTCTACAGAAATTAAATTTTAAGTATCAGAAAATTAAAATTTTTAAATTAACTCTACAGGAGTCTGAAGGCATGACAGAATGTTTTAGAATCAGAGCAGTGATTATCAACAGTGAACCAAACAGTTTAAAATTCTATGCATGAATTCTATCCCCAAAGGCAAAAAACTGTAATTAATCTCCGTGATGTTACAATTTATTTCAGTGAAACTGTTTCCTTGTGAACACCAACTCAGCAGGTAAAAGCACTTTTTTCGAAGCCTTTACTTGAGTTTGATTCCCAGGGTCCACATGTTTGAAGGAAAAAACAAATTCCTGCTAGCTGTCCTCTGGTCTTCACATACTTATTATAAAACACACACACACACACACACACACACACACACACACACTCACACACACCATACAAACACACTAAATAAATAAATAAATGTAAGAGTCACAATCCTATCCTTAAGAACTGTAATTATAATGTTGTGCAATGAAATAAATTAAATTCTGAATTCACAATTGAGAAAGGCCAGACTTGAAGGTATCTCCCTTTTTGTGTTTTTGTTTTTGCTGCTTTGTTTAGACATTAACTATCACTGTTGCCTAAAATGGCCTAAATTGGCTATACCCAAGATTTGCCTGTACCTCATGGAATCACTCTGCCCTACTAAGTGGAGATTGTAGGCCTTCCCAAATGCCCAATTTCCAATTCCTTAAAAGCAAAAGAGTAGCTGGGCATGTCTTTGGTCCCAGCACTCAAGAGGCAGAGGCAGGTATCTCTGATTTGGAGGCTACCCTGATCTATACAATGAGTTCCAGGCCATCCAGTACTAGAAAAAAAAGTGGCAAATAAAACAACAAAAAAGTAAAAGACAGATAGTCTGATGTAGGGCCACTTCATAGAGATTTTACCTTAACTATGTAGTTCTGAAAACACTCCAAAGAGTCTATGAACATTTTTCTATCAATTCTACTTTTGTCAAGTATGATACATTAACAATGTGGCAGGAGAAGAGGGATGTACAGAGAGAGATTTCAAGATTTACATGTAAGAGGAGTTGTTACAAATGGCCCAGGTTAATTCCCAGCATCCACATGGAGGCTCACCACCTTCTTATCCACCAGGCATACACACATGAGGTGCACAGGCATATTTTCAAGCAAAACACTCATAAAATAATAAAAATATCTAAAAATAAAATTTAAAAAAGACTGACATATAAAAGCCAAGAGCTGGTGATTCATCTGTAGCTCAGTTGGGTGCTTCCCTAGCATTCACAAAGCCTTAGGTTCAATATTCAGCATAGCATGAACACAGTGTGGTTGGGTATCCCTGTTATGCCAGCACTTAAGAGGATTAGGAATTCAAGATCAATTTCAGCTACATAACTGAGCGTGGTGGTTTGAATAAAAGTGGTCCCCATAGGATCATATGTTTGAATGATTAGTCATCAGGAAGTGGAATTACTTGACAAGGATTAGGAGGTGTGGCTTTGATAGAGGAGTTATGAGGTTTCAAAACCCTGAACCAGGTCCAATGCCTCTCTCTTCCCGCTGTGTATCCTAATGTAGAACTCTCAAACACTTCTCTAGCACCATAGCTCCCTGTGTACTGCCATGCCACCATAAAGATGAACTAAACCTCTAAAAACTGTAAGCAAGCCCCCAAAAATAAATACTTTCTTTGATAAAAGTTGCTGTGGAAATGTTGTGCTGTCAGATAATGCTCTTGTACACTGTAAAGACTTATCACTCAGATTGGTTTAATAAAATGCTGATTGGTCAGTAGCCAGGTAGTAAGTATGCGTAGGGCAACTAGACTAGGAGAATTCTGGGAAAAGGAAAAGCAGAGTCAGGAGTTGCCAGCCAGACATAGAGGAAGCAAGATGAGAATGTCTTATTGAGAAAAAGTACCAAGTCACGTGGCTAAACATAGATAAGAATTATGGGTTAATTTAAGTGTAAGAGCTAGTTATTAATAAGAAGCCTGAGCATTTATAAATAATATTAAGCCTCTGAGTCAATTAATTGTGAAGCAGCTGCTGGGTATTTGGTAACAGACAGGCAGGAAAGAAACTTCCACCTGCATGTGGCACATAAACATTTGGCAAGAATTTCTACATAAAACCTGAGAAAGCTTAAAAAAAAATTTTAACACAAAAATGAAGTCAAATACAGCTTCTTGATAACTATCTTTTCTCTGGTAGGCTCTGTTTGCTGGCAGTAAACAGAGGCATGGCTCCTTCAAAAGATGGCTTCCTGACTCAGCATTAATGGCAAAAAACTGCATGGTTCTTTTAAGAGGCCCTGCTATCAAACACTTAAATGGAGTTTATGAGCAGTTGGTGGCACACTAATCAGTGGCAGCATGGATCAAAAGACTTCTCAGAGTTAGAGCACTAAACATGTCTTTCGGAGTGGTGGTAAATGCACCTCCACCATGAGACTAGCTTCTCAAGGAACCAAGGATTGGGACAGTGGCAGACACCAAAACCGCAGCTTTAATCCTAGTCATGCCTGCTTAGGAGATTAAATGCTCATATGGTCAGAAAAAGATAGAGATATGCAGTAAAGACAGATTTAAAAAAAAAAAACTCTAAAAAATTTACAATGTGTTTAAAAATATGCATAAGCTTGGGAGAGTAAAGATAAGGTACAGATAGTCATAAAAAATAAATATATAGTTTTAAAATAATAAAGTCCTTGAGAAGGAGTAAAGTAATATATAAAAAAAAGCCACATAAAGATGGAAAATACAGAGATAGTCTGGATGTTGTATGTTATTGTGTTATCTTTGAATTGTTTGACAGCTAAGGAAGGAGCAACTGCTTCTAAGGGATATTTGATTATAAGTTGCTGTATTAATCCAACATATACATTTTGAAAATGCCTTGATGTCAAACTTAAGTCAGAAGATTCATTATTTTGGGAAAGAGGTTCTGCTTTTATTTATACAGGAAATGAGAGGCTGTGGATTCATTCTGTGTTAAGAAAAATCAAATTTGATTAAAGAAGGCCCCTTGAAATAGCTCCAGTGGGAACAGATGGCCCAGATGATCCAACATTTAAGAGTTCCTCTGTTGTTCGTCTGAGTTCTGAATCCAGAAAGGCTTCAAGGCTGCTGGCTGAGACAATCCAGCCTCACAGACTACTATAGTCAGGACTTGACTATAATTCTAAATTTTCTCAGGGTTCCCATAAGATTAACAGCTCCCATAATTAGCAGGAAGTAGCCTAAAAAATTACACACATTCTCCCCCCCCCCCAAATGGATCATGTATATTTGTCTTTGTTTAGAGGGTTTGGTTACAAATTGCTACTGGTCATAGTCAATCTCTTTCCAAAAGAAGGAAGGAGGATATGATATAGAAATGATGGGGGAAAAGGGTAGATTATTAAATCTACTTTTATACAAAAAACAACAGTTAATTTTATATATTTTACATCAGTATGGATTTTAGTTTATTGATACAAATTTAAAGTTAATTTTGTTATGTTGTATGTATATTTATGCTCTTGTTTAGGGTATTACGTTTATGCCGCTCATTTGAAAATGTAACATATAATTAAAAAATACTGATTAATAGTCATCTATAATAACAAACTAATACTCATGTTAGTTATGTTTTCAATGTCATACAGAGATATATTTCAGATAGATAGGCAATCTTTAAACACTTCAAAGACCTATAGAATATGGCATTTAAAATGCTTTAAGAACTTAGATTTTTCTCAACAGTGAGACGCATCTGCTTCTGGCAGCACCAATTACTTCAAAGAGGATGATAGGCATCAAAGAAACTCCATATGGAATTTGTTTACACTATGGCAAAAGCTAGCCATGTGGGCAAAGAAAGTGTCTTTGCCTCAACTCTAGACAGTATGCTGTACAAACCGGACAAGCAGGACACAAAAGCAAATGACTGCAGAACTTTCATAAAGGTGGGAGAGTCCTTCAAAAATTCTGCTCCACTGATAATTCTGTCAGATATGCTAAGTCTGTAGGCCAAAGATGGATCCCCAACATTGCAAAGGAACTTTGGGTGACTGTCCAGGCAGCCTGATGTCCCTGTCACTAGGTAACATTACATCATTCTGGGGTCTTTGATGGAGCTGAAGCCTAAATAGCTATAATTAGAGTTTTTCTTAGTTACAATAGAAAGTAAATTAGGTATAAAACTTTAGACTCACCAATATAAGATAAGTATTTTCTCTAATTTTGTCAAATGAAAATGGATTGCATAGTTACTGTAATTCTTATTTAATAACTGTTTTTGTTTTACAATATTAAGTTTAAAGCCTTCCTTTATAATTAGAAAAAAAGGGGAAATGCTGTGGAATTGTACACTGTAAAGATTTGTCAATTGAATTGATTTAATAAAACACTGAATGGACAGTAGCCAGGCAGGAAGTATGGGTGGGGCAACCAGACTAGGAGAATTCTGGGAAGAGGAACAGTGGAGTAAGGAGTCACCAGCCAAACACAGAAAAAGGAAGATGAGACTGTTGTATTGAGAAAAGGTACCAAGCCACATGGCTAATATAGATAAGAATTCTGGGTTAATTTATGTGTAAGAGCTAGTTAGTAATAAATCTGAGCTACCAGCAGAGCATTTATAAGTAATATTTGTGGTGGTATTGTGTTCACCAAAATATTGTGTACCTTAATAAACTTACCTGGGGTCAGAGAACAGACAAGCCACTAGTTAGTCAGTGATAGCACACGCCTTTAATCCTAGCATTCCAGAGATAGAAATCCCTCTGGATCTCTGTGAGTTCAAGGCCACATTGGAAATAGCCAAGCATGGTGACACACACCTTTAATCCCAGAAAGCCAGCCTTTAATCCCAGGGAGTGGTGGTAGAAAGTAGAAAGATATATAAGGCGTGAGGACCAGAAACTAGAGGATTTTGGCTGGTTAAGCATTCAGGCTTCTAACACAGTTCAGCTGAGAGCCATTGGGATGAGGACACAGAAGCTTCCAGTCTGAGGAAACAGGACCAGCTGAGGATCCGGCGAGGTGAGATAGCTGTGGCTTGTACTGTCTCTCTGATCTACCAGCATGGACCTCAATAACTGGCCTCGGGTTTGATTTTATTAATAAGAACTTTTAAGATTCCTGCTACAAATATTAGGACTCCAAGACAATTATTTGGAAAGCAGGTATTTGGTAACAGGCAGGCAGGAAGGAAACTTCCTCCTACAGTGGTGACCAAGACAGTGAGTTTGAAGCCAGTTTGAATTACAACAGACTTTGTCTCAAAAACAAACAAACAAATAAAAACAAAAACAAAACTAAGCTAGACTTTCCCTACCTCAGTTACATGTAACAAACAGAGTATGTACAAGAGAAACTAAGGGTATAGGAGAGAAAGTGGGTGGTTATAAATAATTTATAAAAGATCAGGAGCTAGGGCAATGGCTCAATGGGAAAAGGACTTCATGTGCAAAGCATCCTTGAGACCCATGTAAATGCTAGAAGGCTATGACAGCCAACATATAATGCCAGCACTGGGGATTCCATGAGAACACTGACAAGCTAGACTAGCTGAATCTGTGAACTCTGGGTTCAAATGAGATCATGTCTTGGTATAAAATGTGGAGAGTAACTGAGAAAAACACTTGAAGTCAACCTCTAGCCTGCAGGGTGCTCACACACCTACACAATGCAACCATCTCTCTCTCTCTCTCTCTCTCTCTCTCTCTCTCTCTCTCTCTCTCTCTCACATGCACGCACGCACGCACGCATGTGCGTGCGCACACACACATGAATGCGTGCAAAAATGGAAAAAAAGGAGGGTATCAAATGAAAACTCAGGTGGTCAGGAGCTTTTGAACTTCCTTTCCCACTTTTTCACTTCCAAGTGCCTTGTTCCTTTTCTAATAAATGGACCCTACCACTGTTACTAAACATTTGTCTCTGATCCAATTTACTGTTCTGACATTTGGCCAACAGGTATGCATGAAATGTTTACTATTCATGAAACAGTTCCAAAATTTTCATTAGTTACCATTATGCTAAATCACATACTATTCACAATAGGAGAATATTTGAAGAGGGAACATGAGAATGTTATAATCATGTATTTCTTATAACTGAATTTAACCTACATTAGAAAATCAAACCATAAAATAACAATTTAGCCTATACTAGAAAATAAGACCACTACTGGGCCATTCTAAATGGTACCTGCAAGGTTTTACCAAAGCATGACTGTAATTCTAGCTACAAAGGAAGCTGGGATGAGGACAGCCACCGTGGATCATGTCTAGCTCTAGTTTGAGTGCTGAAATAAATAAATAAATTTGAATCTTTGTGTATACATACCCACACAGAGACACATACATATAATTTAAAAATAATGAATATTTGAGAATCATGAAAAACATTATAACCTCCCTCTGTTATAACTTTTTACTTATCAGTGTAAAGTAAGGGAAGATTTAACTTTGTTATTGATAATATTCCTCCCTTGTCAAGCATGATGGCCCATGCTTATAAGATCCTGGCAGTCTAAAGACAGGGGCAGAAGATTGTGAGGGAGCTTCACAACAGTGTGGACTATTGTGGGGAGGCTACCTACCACCCCCACATTTCCCCAGGGTACTCTTGAGGAGTAGCAGTAGGAGATATTAGATAGAAGGATTTAGAGTGTGGAGATAAACAGAAAATACAGGATAGCTTCCAGAGGGCCTGGAATTTATTTCATCAGGCCCTGACTTTCTGTGCACTAGAGTATTTATAGAAATGCCAAGAGCTGTTGCAAAAGACATCCCCCCAGCACAGTCAAGTGCAGACCATCTCAGACACCTGCACTCAGGCCTGAGGTCCAATCACCCTTTCTATGCAGACCAGTTGGGTAAAGCCATTAGGAAACCTGAAAAACGGGCCCCCACAGGTCCCCCTTTCTTAATATATAAAAAATAAGTCCTTATTAAGAGCTTACAGCAATCTCCATAGCTGTCACACCTCCCAGTATGGGAGTAGAGGATATAAAGATGGCATTTCTTTTTTGGATTGGGTCAAAGGTGACTACAGTGGTCTTTAGCTGCAACCAGCCCTTTCTAAACCAAAAACTCTTAATGTAATTGCAAACTTAAAGAATCCCTTAGCTTTATCATTATCATTAAAGGTTAACATAAATATCACTATACATAGTTACAGTTCTCTCAATCTTACATCTCAAAGCAAACCCTTATTTTTTTTTTTTTTTTTTTTTTTTGGTTTTTCAAGACAGGGTTTCTCTGCGTAGCTTTGCACCTTTCCTGGAGCTCACTTGGTAGCCCAGCCTGGCCTCGAACTCACAGAGATCTGCCTGGCTCTGCCTCCCGAGTGCTGGGATTAAAGGCGTGCACCACCACCGCCTGGCTCAAAGCAAACTCTTAACAGAACCATTTGAATTAACATAAATAGTGCTATATGTAGTTACAATTTTCTCAGTCTTACAACTTATACTCTTATTAGAACAATTTGAATTTCATGCTAACAGAACATAAGAAAAACTTCTGATGTTTTCACATCAAATTTAAATATTTCCTTAACTTCACAAAACCAGGGTGCATTAATATCAATAGGTTAAGATAATTTCTGCAAACATACATTTAACCTTAATTCACTCATAACGCCTCCTTTTCTTTATAAATTTTTTAAAACAAAATCTTGAACCTAGTTAGGAAAAACCCAAACTTATACAATTATAATTCCTCCAAAAGCAGTATTTTAATAAAACTTTTTACACTTTAAAGTAATCTCTTAGTATACCCATTTGTATTTTTTACTAACAAAACATGGCATTAATCCACTCAAATAAAATATTTTTTAAATTAAATAGACTAAGGAATGTTACTTCTCACTTTTCTTTATAATTTTTATATATTTTTTTATTTTATAATTTAATTTAATTTTATATATCAGCCACGGATTCCCTTGTCCTCCCCCTCCTGCCCCCTCTCATTCCCATCTCCTTCAGGGCAAAGACTCCCCTAGGGATTAAGTTCAACTTGGTAGATTCAGTCCAGGCAGGTCCAATACCCTCCTCCCAGGCTGAGCAAAGTGTCCCTGCATAAGACCCAGTTTCCAAACAGTCAGCTCATGCACTGAGGACAGGTCCTGGTCCCACTGACTGGATGCCTCCCAAACATTTCAAGCTAATCAACTGTCTCACTTATCCAGAGGGCCTGATCCAGTTGGGGGCTCCTCAGCTATTGGTTCATAGTTTATGTGTTTCCATTCATTTGGCTATTTGTCCCTGTACTTTTTCCAATCTTGGTCTCAACAATTCTCGCTCATACAAACCCTCCTCTTTCTCACCAATTGGACTCCTGGAGCTCTACGTGGGGCCTGGCCGTGGATCTCTGCAGCTGGTTCCCTCTGTCATTGGATAAGATTTCTAGCATGAAAATTAGGGTGTTTGGCCATCCTATCACCAGAGTAGGTCAGTTCGGGCTTTCTCTCACCCATTGCCAGTAGTCTATTGTGGAGGTTACTTTGTGAATTTGTGTGGACCTCTCTAGCACTTTGCTTCTTCCTATTCTCATGTGGTCTTCATTTATCATGGTCTCTTATTTCTTGTTCTCCCTCTCTGTTCTTTATCCAGCTGGGATCTCCTGCTCCCCTAAGCTCTCTTTCTATTGAAACTTGCCCTTTGTTACCCCCCTCACATCCAGGTTGTTTGTGTAGATCTCATCCATTTTTCTGTCATTAGGCGATCCCTGTGTCTTTCTTAGGGCCCTGTTTTCTAGGTAGTCTCCCTGGAGTTATGAGTCCATCTTTGTTTTACAACTAGTATCCTCCTATGAGTGAGTACATACCATGTTTGTCTTTCTGAGTCTGGGTTACCTCACTCAGGATGATTATTTTCTAGATCCATCCATTTGCCTGCAAACCTTATGATGCCATTGTTTTTCTCTGCTGAGTAGTACTCCATTGTGTATATGTACCACATTTTCTTTATCCATTCTTCAGTTGAAGGGCATCTAGGTTGTTTCCAGGTTCTGGCTATTACAAACATTGCTGATATGAACATAGCTGAGCAAGTGCCCTTGTGGTATGATTGAGCATTCCTTGGGTATATGCCCAAGAGTGGTATAGCTGGATCTTGGGGGAAGATTGATTCCCAATTTTCTAAGAAAGTGCCATATTGATTTCCAAAGTGGTTGTATAAGCTTGCATTCCCACCAGCAGTGGTGGAGAGTTTCCCTAGCTCCATATCCTCTCCAGCATAAGCTGTCTTCAGTGTTTTTGATCTTAGCCATTCTGACAGGTGTAAGATGGTATCTCAGAGTCATTTTGATTTTCATTTCCCTGATGATTAGGGATGTTGAGCAATTCCTTAAATGTCTTTCAGCCATTTGAGCTTCCTCTGTTGAGAATTATCTGTTTAGTTCTATAGCCCATTTCTTAATTGGCCTGTTGGGTGTTTTGATATCTAATTTCTTGAGTTCTTTATATATTCTGGATATCAGCCCTTTGTCAGATGTGGGGTTGGTGAAGACCTTTTCACATTCTGTAGACTGTCATTTTGTCTTGTTGACCCTATCCTTTGCTATACAAAAGCTTCTCAATTTCAAGAGGACCCATTGATTGATTGTTTCTCTCAGTGTCTGTGCTACTGGTCTTGTATTTAGGAAGGGATCTCCTATGCCAATGCATTCAAGACTACTTCCTACTTTCTCTTCTAGCAGGTTCAGAGTAGCTGGATTTATGCTGACGTCTTTGATCCACTTGGACTTAAGTTTTGTGCACAGTGACAGATATGGATCTATTTGCAGCCTTCTACACATTGATATCCAGTTATGCCAGCACCATTTGTTGAAGATGCTTTCTTTTTTCCATTGTACAACTTTGGCTTCTTTGTCAAAAATTATATATTCATATGTGTGCAGATTAATGTCAGGGTCTTCAATTCTATTCCATTGATCTACATGTCAGTTTTTATGCCAGTACCAAGTTGTTTTTTATTACTGTAGCTCTATAGTAGAGCTTGAGGTCCAGGATCGTGGTGCCTCCAGAGGTTGTTTTGTTGTACAGGATTCTTTTGGCTATCCTGGGTTTTTTGTTTTTCCATATGAAGTTGAGTATTATTCTTTTCAGGTCTGTGAAGAATTGTGTTGTTATTTTGATGGGGATTGCATTGAATCTGTAGATTGCTTTTGGTAAGATTGCCATTTTTACTATGTTAATCCTGCCTATCCATGAGCATGGGAGATCTTTCCATTTTCTGACATTTTTCAATTTCTTTTCTCAGGGACTTAAAGTTCTTGTCACATAGGTCCTTCACTTGCTTAGTTAGTGTTACCCCAAGGTATTTTATATCATGTGTGGCTATTGAAAAGGGTGATGTATCTCTGATTTCTCTCTCAGCCTATTTGTCAATTGTATATAAGAGGGTTACTGATTTTTTTGAGTTGATGTTGTACCCTGCTATGTTGCTGAAGGTGTTTATAAGCTGTATCAGTTCCTTGGTTGAATCTTTGGTGTCACTCAAGTATACTATCATGTCATCTGCAAATAGGGAAAGCTTCACTTCTTCCTTTCTAATTTGTATCCCCTTAACATTGAGTTTCTCTCCATTTAATTTGATGTTGGATGTTGGCTTGCTATAAATTGCCTTTATTATGCTTAGGTATGTTCCCTGTATTCCTGATAGCTCCAAGATCTTTATCATGAAGGGGTGTTGGATTTTGTCAGATGCCTTTTCTGCATCTAGTGAGATGATCATGTGTTTATTTTTTTCAGTTTGTTTATATGGTGTATTACATTGATATGTTGAAGCACCCTTGCATCCCTGGGATGAAGCCTAATTGATCATGGTGGATAATTGTTTTGATGTGTTCTTGGAGTCTGTTTGCCAGTATTTTATTGAATATTTTTGCATCAATGTTCATGAGGGACATCTGTCTGTAGTTCTCTTTCTTTGTTGCATCTTTGTTTGTTTTAGGAATCAGGGTAATTGTAGCCTCATAGAAGGAGTTTGGTAATGTTCCTTCTGTTTCTATTGTGTTCTACAATTTAAAGAGTTTTGGTATTGACTCTTTTTGAAGATCTGGTAGAATTCTGCAGTGAAACCATCTGGTCCTGGGCTTTTTTTG